AGAAGGGGATAATAGAGTCAAGGAAGACTCAGAATTCTTAGTTTGAACAATGACAATAGTACTTACTAAGACTGGCAATACTAGAAATAGAGTAGGCCAAGGTATTCCGCATTGAATGGTATTGTAATCGGAAGAGACCCTGGCAAACATGTAGTGCAGCCATGGAGGAAACTGAAACCCAAAGAAGGATGTTGACTCTCTCCCATCCAAGAACTAACCAGGCCCAACCCTGCTTAGCTTCCGAGATCAGACGAGAACGGGTGCGTTCAGGGTGGTATGGCCGTAGAGTATATTGACTTTCTTAGTGTCACAGAGTATTGGCAGCAAAGCGTGGGCTCAGGTCCATATCTCCTAATTCATAGCCTAGGACTGCTAAAATGGATAGTTTCATTGAAAAGGCTTAATGAGCATCTAATGGGGAATCCTATCCAAAGGTGAATTTACAGTGAAGCTAATGAAGCTTAAGATTCAGGGCCTTCATGGGCACTGGCTGCTATGAATGTTGGGAGTTTGGGGAGTTGTCAGTTATTCCAGACGGAGAGAGGAAGCCAGGGTGCAATCAGAAAGCATTTCTGTGTATTTATTTCTGCTGAACCACCTGAAAGCATCTCAGAACAAAAGTATATCTATCTCTAAAGCACTATTAATTTCTTGTGATCTAATTTCTTGGCCTAGTAAATATGAAGTTTTAGATCTCATTTTATTTATGACTTTGTATTATTTTTCATAAAGAGAAACTCAACATTAGATAACTTTCATCCCCACAAAACCTGGATCTAGTCCTGATCCTGAGTCTACTTCTCCGAACTCTTCCATCTCAGAACTGGCCCAATCCAGTCCTTCCTTCTGTACCTAGCTAGGCCTGCTTCAGGGACAAAATCAGCAAATGGTATATTAAGATTATTTTTTGCTCTCAGATATTCCTTATTCAAGAACTGGTTCTTCTAAAAGTATAACCTACACTATTTGTGAAATGAGGTGGTTGGAGTTAGATAATCTTTCCAGTCCCTTCCAATTTTAAGTTTCTTTTAAAAGAATAACAAAATTCTAAATTTTTATACCCACCCACTAGCCATGCCATTGTAAAGAATTAGAACTAGAATCACATGGAAACATTTTGGTTCTGTGACTAAAAGACAAGGAATATATAAAAATCACTTAACCTCTGTGGGATTTTTCCCTAACAGAAAGTCTTGTTATTTATTAACACATTTTACTTGGAATTTTAAGATGTTACTTAAATTTTAGTTTCAAGCCAGATTTTTTTAAGCTTTGAATTTCCTTTTAGGCAAATTGTGTCTCACCACACCTTAGCACTCAGACAAGGCAAACAAAAGACCTGCTAATAGACAAGTCAGTTGTTATTGTTGATTGATTATAATTTCTTAAGAGAGTAAAATGTTTTTCTTCCTCCCTTGCCTACATTAAGATTTTCCCATAGTAAAAGATAAGATCTGACACTTGCTTATTGACTATCTCTGGTGTTTTATTCTTGTTGCTTTTGTTAGTTGTACTTTATGGTAAATGAGAGGAGACAATGAGAAAAAAAGTTAAAAGCTTGCATTCTTTTCAGTTTTTATTCCAGTTTCTTATTGAGGTTTATGTTCTGACACTTGGAACGCAGTAATATGCATCGCATTATTTATTAGCTTCCTGCCAGTGTCTTGTGTTAACCTTGAAAAATAATACTTTTTAGAGTTGAGTTGACTTCTTCAGACCTGTGAATAAACAGCATAAAAAAACAAGATGGTGAAGTGGAAATGGAAAGACTTGCTTCATTTCTTCCTATTGAAGCTAAATATATAAAGGCTTAGGAACAGAAGGGCCCCTCATCGTTAACACACAGTTTGCTGCTTAATGGTGTGTTCACTTTGTGTGCGGGTTCTCACATAGGAAGAATCTTAATATTTAGATAGTGTCTGTAATTCAGACAGATACTGATTTGAGAGCATGGAAATCTGTCTTTCTCAGATCATCACCTCAGGGAAGTTGGAAGAGAATTTCTCTAGCCCTTACTTCCCTTCCATCTTGCTCCTACAAAACCTGGCTTGTATCCCTCTTAAGTACCTGGTACATCTTTTCTCTTTTTTTTCTTTTTTTTTTTTAAATAGACTTTCAGAGAGAAGATAATACAGTACATATTTTCTTATTGTTTTACAGCTGTAAACTGAGAATTCTGTGCATTGTCTGTGTTTGTGCAGCTGTGTATCAGTGAGCTAATTTGAGTAGATACTAGCTTGAAGAAGGTTGGCTATAATCTCTCTTCCCTTCTAAGCATTGGAGGGGAATGAGAACAGGGTTTGTAGTTTGTTTATTTAGCTATAAAACAATGGGCTTGCACAAGATATGCTAGGTGCTTTCCTCCAACTGCAGCTCTGGAGGCAACCACACTAAGTTGCCAGCTTCTCCCCCTATTCCCTAGCCCCCAGTTAATGTCAGGTCTTGAAGCTTTGGCTTTTGGTCTCTAGGTCTGTTTCATTTTTCTATTTTACTATCCATATGTAGAAAGATCTTGTCTTGAATATGCATTTTCCTCACATTTTGTATAATTATCTCATCTTGGTACTCTTTTGGGATTACATTGGTGCAGCTATTTGGTTTTTTTCTAGAAAAAATATTTAATTTAGCATCTCCCTTTATTTTCCTGGTTTAGTGTAAAAGAAAGTTAAAATCATTTGGGGCAGAATAATTTACCAAGAGGAAGAAGAATATGCAGTGGTCAACTATGTACTGTATATGGATATGTATTTTGAGAATTATCCTCTTTTTATTATTCAAAATAAAAATGAACAGGAGAAGGAGGTGGCAGAGGAGGAAACAGGACAAGTGTCCTCAGTCTCTCTGGTCTGGCAATGTGAAATTAATAGATTTTGGAGGGAGTGCATTTTTTTTTTTTTTCAGTGGATATCATCTCTGAACTTGGGAGATAGAAGAACCTGTCAAAGGTTAAAGGTTGTGTTTTCAAGATTTGCATCAAAAAGCAACTTAAGTCTAGTGGATTTGACAAGTTTAGTTTTGTTTACTAAATATAAAGACCTGGCTCTATGACTAGAGTCTGATAGTTTAGCCTTATTATAAGGTGTTTTTTTT